ATTATGGAGGATTAACTCTGGGATAGCGTTGCTTGGTTCTGTAAACAGATTATGGTTTGGCCATCAAAACTGGCCTCAGCATCTTCACAGATGGTTTAGTTGTGTTTTTTTTAAAAATCAACATCCTTGAGGAACAGCCACAGCACTTGATTCAAGGAGCCCCCTGAGCTGGTCATGGAAGTCTGGAGAAAATCTTGATATGGTAAACTGCTTGAAAGAGTCCAGCACAGAGCTACAAAGATGCTGAAGGGAGGGGAATATCTCCCTTATGAGGAAAGGCTGAGGGAGCTGGGTCTCTTTAGCTTGGAGAAAAGGAGACTGAGGGGTGACCTCATCAATGTTTACAAATATGTAAGGGGTGAGTGTCAGGGAGATGGAGTTAGGCTTTTCTCAGTGATGACCAGTGATAGGACAAGGGGGAATGGGTGTAAATTGGAGCATAGGAGGTTCAAGGTGAATATCCGAAAAAATTTTTTTACTGTAGGCGTGACAGAGCACTGGAACAGACTGCCCAGGGAGGTTGTGGAGTCTCCTTCACTGGAGACATTCAAAACCCACCTGGATGTGTTCCTGTGTGATGTGCTCTGGGTAACCCTGCTCTGGCAGGGAGGGTGGACTAGATGATCTTTCGAGGTCCCTTCCAGCCCCTAAGATTCTATGATTCTATGAACCCAGCCCCACCAGAGGGAAGCAGCTTTGCTTGGTGGCACCACTTCCACACCCCTCCCAGCTCTGCAACGCTGGGAATGTCCACAGGATGAGGGGGGGAAAAGAGCCACCAACATACCTCAACTTCCCCGGTTTCGTTCTCCTTCAGCACGAAACTGAGCACGTCGGTGTCAGGACCTGCCAGCAGGCGCAGGAACAGGGGGTACTCGGTGAGGGGCAGCTTCTGGAGCAGCACTGCAAGGGGACAGCAGACACTCACAGTCAGCCCCTGGCTGCCAGGGCAAAGGAAGGCTCAGGAGGTCAATTGGAGCAAGCAAGAAGCAGTTTGTGCTGCTCAGGATCATATTGTCAACAGCTGAGTCTCTAATCAGAGATCCATCCTGATCCCCGTTAGGTCTCAGGGGACTTCAGCCCCCTTCTGAGAACCAGGAATCCCCCAGTAGCTTAAGCAGCTCTTGTGGAGGTCAGACCATTTATTCACCTGGCATTTAGGACCAGCAAGTCCTAGGAAAATGCTTGGATGATGTTTCTGCCACACAAAATCACAAACAAACCAAGGAGCTGCAGGGAAGCTGGAGGGCCCGAGGGCACGGACTCACCTTGCCCATCCTTCCGCATCTCCTTGAAAAGTGCAAACTTCTGGGGATTATCCACCACCATGAACTTCTTCAGGAGCCCCTGGATCACCTCGCTCACTGTGGTCGTGCTGCTGATGTGGAGCTGCTTGATGGCATCGAGGGGCAGGTAGAAGGAGGTTCTCTTGTCCGTCATGCTGGCCAAGTTCACCTCCTTGAGGGCATCGTAGATGGACTGTGGCCGGATCCCGGCCGGGACCGTCACGGGACGACGCAGCTTCAGATGCACTTTAATGAACCCCGTGTAGGTCCCATCATCGTTCTAGAGCAAAGGAGAGGGGGTTCAGTCTTGCCAGACCTTCCTCCCACTACCAGGGGCTTTCTGGTCCACACTGCTGCAGCCCAAGGGGTGACTGCAGGACTTTCCATCCCTCGGTACCACCAGGAGTTGGAGAGTTTCTTATTAATCATGTCAAAGTAACCAGTAATTTCAGGTTAGTCACAACTGACTTGCTCCTGTCCCTTCCTCTCACTAGTGACTCATCCCCTCCCCATGTCTGTGTGATCACGTCTCAATTAAAACCAACACTGCTCCAAGCCAGTTGTGGAAGCCATTACCCTTCATTTGTGTTTGCAATTAAGTGAGGCTCTGAAACCCCAGGGCAGCTCTCCAGCTTGTGTTCAGCAG